CAACCGACCCAGTATGGGTTGAGCAGTGGCCCCTATCTCAGCCTCGAATGGATGCCCTCCTAAAGTTAGTCGACCGCGAGTTGCAACAAGAGCATATAGAGCCCTCTACTAGCCCATGGAACACTCCAATCTTCGTGATACCTAAGCGGTCAGGTGAAGGATTTCGTCTCCTTCACGACCTGCGTGAAGTAAATAAGAATATTCAGCCAATGGGCGCGGTCCAGACACTGTTACCTATGAGTTCCATGATACCCAAAGGACAGCCATGTGCTACCCTCGACATCAAGGACTGCTTCTTTTCTATACCATTGCATGAAGCAGACGAAGAAAAATGTACCTTTTCGCTGGTGTTCCCAAATAATCAGCAGCCCAACTTACGTTTTCAGTGGAAAGTACTACCCCAAGGGATGCTCAATTCACCCACTATCTGTCAGATCGTAATCGATCGGGCTTTGGCACCAATTCGGCATAATAACCCGGCCACAACTATCATTCAATACATGGATGATATCTTGATAGCTGCACCATCCAGAGACCAGGTAGACCGGCTAATTTTAACAATCTCAGACACCCTGAAAGCGAATGGATTAGAAATTGCAGATTCAAAAATAAAAAAGGGGCCTTGTATAACCTTCCTGGGAGTAGGAATCACAGGTTCCTACATAACTCCTCCCCAAATAAAAATTCACAGGGACATTAAGACTCTCCCTGACGCACAGCAGCTGGTAGGGTCCTTGCAGTGGTTCCATAATGTCATCCTAATTCCTCCCGAAATCATGACTTCTTTGTACGATCTGTTAAAAGGGAAACATCCCTGGGAACAGAAAGAATTAACAGCCAAGGCAACAGATTCCCTTAATTTTATCTAGCAGCAGGTATCCACGGGCACACCAGCAAAGTGGAATCCAGACGTGCCACTCGACCTGTATGTACACTTTACAACAGAAGGGGGGGTAGGGGCACTCACCCAAGGGTCACCAGAAAAGGCACAGCCAGTGCTGTGGGTAGTCCCAGGAAAGCTGTCACGTGCATTTTCCCCAGGAATCGAGTGTATCAGTAATCTCATTATGAAAGGCAGAAAGCTCGCACTGAGGCATTTAGGTACTGAACCTGCTAAAATATATTTGCCCCTTCGTAAACAGCTTCCAACAAAGTCAATAGCTCTGTCAAAACACCTGGCCATAGCCTTAGCCAGGTTCAACGGAGAGATCCAGTATGCCACTAAGCCTCCCTGGACCCAGCTGTTAGCCATTGTCGACATCGACCTTCCACAGAAGGTTATGGACCGGCCCCGACCGGGACCGACAGTTTTCACAGATGCATCCTCTGTGACCTCCATGGCCACAGCAGTGTGGCAGTCAGAAAATGAGTGGCATTGCGTAAAAACGACCGATAATGCACTCTCAGTCCAGCAGCTAGAAGTAACGGCTGTTGTGCTAGTTTGCAGGCTGTTTTTAACAGAGCACCTTAATATAGTGACTGATTCGATGTTTGTCACCAAGCTCTGCCTAGCCATGTCACAGCCCGGTGTACCAGCATCCAGAGCGGCCCTGATGTTGGAAAAAGCCCTTGCTTCCTGAAAAGGCACCATATCGGTCATTCACATCAACAGCCACAACCCAATCAAAGGTTTCTTTCAGATCGGTAATCACAGAGCAGATGCTGCTGCAAAAGGGTTGTGGACGTTGAGAGATGCTCGTCAGCTACACGAATCTCTCCATAATGGGGCTAAAGCGCTAGTTAAAGAATGTAAAATCACATATGCAGACGCAAAGCATATCGTGGCCACATGCCCTCACTGTCAAAAAACGCCACTCTGGTCCAGTGGAGTGAATCCCAGAGGCCTTAAAGCCTCTGAAATATGGCAATCAGATTTTACACTCTGCCAGCTCTTAAAGCCCCAACCCTGGCTGGCAGTGACCGTAGATACATACAGCGGAGTAATCGTGGCCACTCAGCATGCCAAAACAGATTCCAAGGCAACCATCCAGCATTGGCTAACAGTGATGGCATGGCTCGGGGTCCCCAATCAGATCAAAACGGACAACGGTCCAAACTTCATATCCAAATCAGTTCAGGCATTTGCACAGAAATGGGACATGACACATGGCATTCCGTATAATAGCACGGGACAAGCCACAGTTGAGCGGGCAAATCAAACCCTAAAATCCAAAATAGAGGTATTAGCAAAAGTGGAAGGCTTTACCAATGCTTTTCCCTCGAAAGATCAAGCACGGTTATTGGCAACCGCTTTGCTGGTTCTAAATCAGTTTCTCAGAGGGGAAGAAGCAAACAGTCCAGTTCGAAAGCACTGGGCCACTCGTGCATTAGAAGAAGGCCCACCAGTCATAATCAGAAATGAACTGGGAGATTGGGAATGAGGGTGGAAAATAGTCCTTGCAGGGTGAGGGTACGCTGCAGTTAAGAAAGATGACGAGGTTAAATGGTGTCCACTTAGATCTATTAGCCAGACCTGCAGAATAAAACTAATGAAAACTGTGAGCTTTTACTTGCAGGATTGGGTCATCGGACGCCCTCAGAACCAGTACAGCCCAGTGCCAGAGGAAAACAACACGCCGACCAACACCCTGTCCAACCCTGCAGGCTCGGCGCAGACAAAGGCCAGACAGCATCGAGACAGCCACCGTGAAAGAAAGCAGCAATGTCTTTGCGTGATACTGATCCTGGCACTTTCCAAGGTAGAGCCAATACATGCAGGCCACTCGCATCACCAGCCATTTAAATGGTCTCTCCTCAGGCCCCAGACTAAGCAAGTTATTGCCTCTCAGGTAACATCAGGTACACCAAGCTTTCACGTCACCCTGTGTGCGTTAGTCCCA